GTTACCCTCTGGTAAACTAACATAACTATGGAAAATTGCCATTTTTAATGGGAAAACTCACTATAAATGGTCATTTTCAATAATAGTTATGTTAAATTACCAGAGGGTATTGCCATATCTTGATCATATTGGAGGATGGCATAAGGTTTACCATGGTTTACCTCAAAAGTCGTGGGGGGATGACTTTCCATATATTGGGAATTTCATCATCCCAACTGATGAACTCATATTTTTCAGAGGGGTTGAAACGGTTGAAACCACAAACCAGGAATGATTGAAAGCAAAGTCATCCGGGACGTTTCCACTCCAGTTGGCCATTCTTGGCCGGGCCATAGTGAACTCCACTCGGCTGAGGGATGGGGATGATGAAGGCGCCATTGGTACCTGATTTTTTTATATTTGTTTTCGCTTCCAAGATTCGTCACGGATGGGCCGATTCTCTGAAACTGGGATCACCAAATCCATCCTGCCGCTCCCACATTTGATTCAGTGGTTGACTTGAATGACATTCAATGATGCTGAATGGTCTACAGATCCATCATGGTTTTTGTGATGTTGCTCAAACACTATTTGTATGTGTGACAGGTGGAAATTGCGATGGGCCATGATCACATGTTCGATAGTCTTCAACCCTCGGAGGCGACGACGATGATGTCTTGCCCTCGGTCCTTGTATCAGTCCACTGGGATACGGCCTCTTAATTGTGTTAGTAGATGGATTACCTTCAAGTCAGCGTTTTTGCTGACATAACCAACGATCAATAGGAACATGGATGAACATGGCGTCAATCAAGCTCACCCATTGTTTTTCCATGAAGGGACATGAGGCTGGGTCACATTTAAGTATTGCATGTGCTTCAGAATTTCAGACTGTTGATGGACAATTTGGAAATCTTAGAACCCATTTATGGTTAAGCCAAATGCCAAATGTCCAAATATCCAAATCTAAGATTTCCAAATAAAGCATCACCATAACCACATGATTTCCCAGGACTTAAGTTCTGACCGATCTGGTTACATCCTTTAGAACCACTTTGGCCCGTTCAAGGCCTCGGACCCTGGTCAGCCTGGTCTCTCAAAGTGGGCTTTCCCAGTGATCCATGGGGGAAAAAATTCAGTGATCACCCAGGTGTAATGTTTGTAATTTTGGAATATGTATATAGATGGATGTATAGATGGATGTATAGATGGATGTATGGATGGATGGATGGATAGATAGATTCTAGATATTATGCTATAGAGAGATATAGATAAGATAAGTGAATATGTTTCTTGATTTTTGATAATATGAACCCCCAGCTTGTGACGCCGTGACGCCTTTGCCTCTCAGGTCTAGGTCCGTGGCATCCAAGGTGCGGATGTTTTTCCAGCGGAATTTCTTGAGAAAAAACATGTATATGTCATCAATGTGTTCATGAATATGTCATCAATCTACTATAATAATCTATAATACCTATGCATGTTGATATCAATGATTTGATATACCCTCTGGTTATTTCACAGAGCGAAGTGGAACATCAGCATGTTGAATGGGTATCTCATCTAGAAACGGGCCTTTTTCCATAGCTATGTTTTTCTTTGAAGAAAACTGGATCAACCATGATAAAACGGAGGTTTGAGATGTAGCTTGCGGATATGATTGGTTGCAGCCACAGTCTTGTACATAGTTGATGGTGATATCGGATATATATCGGATATACTATGGAATTTCGGAACAGCATATGGGATACAATAGAATACAATATTGGATGTATATCTATTATATTAAAGTATGTGTCATATTACCAACCTACGACGGTTGAACATGGTTGAACTGAATTCCTAAGCCCATCTATGTTGGATGATTATGCCAGCTTCGGGAAAGATGATCGTTGCCCTAAGATGAACTGAAGGCTGAAGCATTTTTTCCATGTTGAACTATGTTGAACCATTTTGAACCAGACTAATACAATTCTATAACTCTTGTAGTACCCTCTGGTAATTTAACATAGCTATTGAAAATCACCATTTTTCATGGGAAAATCCACTATTTCTATGGTCATTTTCAATAGCTACGTTAAATTACCAGAGGGTAACCCATTTTCTGGTTGGCATCACTCTTTTTTAGTGGCCGTTTGCTGTTCTATCTTTGTTGTCGCTGGCCTGCCGAGTTGAGCTTGCCTGGGCGGAACTGGAACGCCCCTCGGCTGCATGAAATTTACACGTGCCAAAGGGGCAGGGGAATGGGTAGAATTCCTAGTGTCATATCCCATGACGGATCCATGGTGCTGGTATATATGGTAACATGGATCCCATATACCCCCAATGTTAGCATATATACCATACATGGATCCTATGGGTATTGAAGAAATCTTCTCCGGATCTCTCCAATCAAACATGCCAACTGCTTAGTTCGATCACCCCTGGATTATCGATGCTATTTTTGCAGATAAGGTTCGATGATTTTCCCGTGAAAGAAAGCCTCCATTTCTAAGGGATTTCCCATTGCCATGTTTGGTGACCGGGAAAAATAGTGACACTATGGGAGGTTCCACCACTTGTGGTACCCCCTGCCACCATGGGATACCATGGGTTTCCTGAAAGACCACCAATGGACACCCCAGTGGTAGTAAGAATACGTAGCCATGAAGAGATCGCACTTGATCGCACTTGTAATATCATGTATAATCATGTATAATCATATATATACATATATATATAATGTATCCAAGCTTGGGTGGATCATCCCAGCAATATCTCATGCTCAGGATGATGATGAGTGGTACGAGGAGACGCTAGTGGAATGAATGAACTTCAAACGTGTGGCAAGTCATGCGATCAGGAGAGCGAATTCTCCGAAGATCCCATGGAAGAACAGATGCGTGAGCAGGTCGATGTCCCAGACGGACCGAGTTGTGGGCCATCCCGGAATCCCATCGGAAGAGCATGGCTGAACATCTCAGGGGGTATTGAAGCGTGGATGAGTCGAAACCTATGATTTTCGGTATATGTTCGGTATAATATGCAGTAATTGGGATAAATGAACATCTAGTCCAAGTACCAGTCGTTTTGATGTGAAAGCCAGGGGATTCAGGGATTCCAGGAATTCCAGGGTGAAATGATGGCCAAGTATGGCCAAGTCTTGAGAAAAGACCTGTTTCTATAGTAGTTGGCTGCTATATCCTGCAAATTCCTGTAATATCCTATAGTTGTTTATGTTTTTTGCGCAGCGTCCTATAGCGCTGATACTCGTGGCAGGTTCAGGGCATTTGTATGGGCCTTGCAACTGGGTTGCAAACTGGGTTTCGAGCTCGTCAACGTGACGCCACGTACACATTGCAGATAGGGTTCTTTGGTAAAGACCTAATTGATTTGGATTACACAAATTAGATCAAATTAGTAATTTGGGAAACCCAATGGCGTAAACAAGGCTACGGCGCCAGGTGCGACCCCTCAGAAAACACACGATGTTTTTCCACGCTCTGACGACATAGCGTGGTATTTACAATGTTTTGCAACTGTCACTGCCAACTTGCGACTTGAAACTGAATGACCCTCGTGAGGCGGGGAGTCATGTTCCTTTTCATATTGTTTTTTGCATGGTATTTTGACCATATTGAGTAGAATTTCCGGGGTATGCTTTATTTAGTCACAATTTTTGGCCAGCTTTCCCACAAGGTTCCACATCTTACATCCAGCGTTGTAACGAAACATGAAGCTTTTCATCATATCCAACAACCGGCCGCAAGTGCAAGAGACATGTTACAACGTAGCATCAAGTCGGTGGGCAAGTGCAAGAGACATGTTTCAACGTAGCATCAAGTGGGCGTAGCATGACGTACGTGTGGATATGAAAGAAGTGCAAGAGAGCGTACACATGCGTACACTAATGTTGCATCACGTATGTGTGGACGCGCCCTGCACGCGCCAATGACGTTATTCTCCCACCCCACCCCACCCAACCCCACCCCACCCCACCACCCCACCCCCCCCCCAACCCCACCCCGCCACCCCCCCACCACCCCCCCACCCGACACACTGAATACATGACAAGACCCGAGAAGCTGAGGCATGCACCTGAGGCAGCAAGGAAAATTGGGAAATTGGGAGGGGTTGCTAGCAGTGACGTTGGCATAAACAAGGGAATCGGCTGGCTCGCCGCCCTGGAACTGTCGACAAGTTTTTTCATCATTCGCAAGGTAGAATGCTTGAAACCTAGTGTTTTTTACATTTTTCATGTTGGGAAGGCATTTTGAAAGTGTCATTTTGTACTGCGTGGGCCAATTCAAAATTGAGAACTTGTATTTCGTGCAGGCGAAACGATCGTTTTTTATCACACTGGGAAAAAAGTTTGGAAATTGTTCTTCATCAAGAAATTCCATGTCCTTACGGCTTGGGTGCATCTTTTTTCAACTCTGCCAGAAGCATGCGGGAAGTTCTTCCAAGATTGAACTAGTGATGGAAGCATTATGTCTCCACTGGAAGCTTCGCGCCCTTTTCCAACGATTTTCGTTGGTTCCCCTGTGGGATTTGTCTTTTTGGGCAAAAGCGATCGGGCTCCATTTTTTCAAAACTTATTTCCATGTGGAGTCAATTTGCTGGGTGCCTGCGACAACAAAGCGGTTGTTGATTTTCATTTTTTTTGTTGACAAATTGTTGTCGTTTGTGCCATCAGCGTAACATCAATCAAACCTATGCTCACGTATGGTAACAACATGCACAAGCGAAGCAACATGTTCCATCAGCGTAACATCAGCGTAGCAACATGTTCCATCAGCCCCCACCCCACCCCACCCCATCTCCAACGTAGCATCATGTTGGCGTGCAAGTGCCCAGGAACGTTACTTAGCCCCACCCCACCCCACCGTACCAGCATACCTTGCAATACCTTGCACAACATCGAAGTATACAATCGCAAAAAATGACAACCCTTCCAGGGCGGCGAGTCAGCCGATAGCCATAAACAACTCTATGAAATTTGGGGATGATATGTATTTAATTTCCACTCATGCATGACAATATATGGCATTGTTGGGTCCTAGCAGACTGGCAGGGCAGTTTTTTCCATGGTTTTTCCAGCATTTTCCAGCCACAGCTGAGGTTTGTCTGGCTCATCACGTTTTACGAGGTCCTCCTCAAGTTGGTCTCTCGCGGCAGAACCGGCTCCTCAACGAGAAGGCTGGATGGTCCGGGCCATCTATGGATGGATAGATTTAGAGAATAAAGATCAGCCCTGTTCCTGGTTAAATTTTCATAATATCATCTTCATATATGATGGTATACGAATCTGATGATATTTCGTCATGTGTGTACAATATGCATGATATGATTTTATGAAATATGATATGATATAATATGTAAAATTATAGACTGAATCAGATTCATTCAGAATAATATATTATAATATATGATAGTATATGATGATATATGATAGTATATTATAATATATGATAATATATCTATATACATAGTAAATATATGACCTGTTTTACATTTCCATCCCTTTTTTGTTTTCGTCTCACGGCCAGGAGCTCCTCGAGGAGTTGATGAGTTTGCGCTTTTGGGTCGGGCGGCTGGGATCGGGCCACGTTTGGATCTAGCTTTGGATATAGTGAAGATAGATTAGATTAGATTAGATTAGAAAAGTTAGTAGGTAGTAGATAGTAGGTAGTAGATAGATATATCTTGTAGATCGATAATATATAATAATAATAATAATAATAATAATAGTTGTACCAATATCTTATTTATTTATATATATATATATACACATAGACTTTTACATATGCATTTCTATACACAAGGCAAGGTAAATTTCACTTCCAAGTGGGGCCTCACACCTTCACTTTCAACTCCGAGTGATCAAATTTCGCCGAAGATCCAGCTCTCAGTACTGGGACATGGGCCAACACACCCTGTACCTTCGCAAAGAGTCGCTCTGTGCGGAGGTTACCCATCGCAAAACTCCGCCTGACTGGAGTCCTGTGCTTTGACATTTGATGTTTTGGATCAACTTACTGTATCCAAAACATCCGTGTTTAGATACTCAAAATGATTTAAAATGAGCGATGCAAACTTGTGGTCCCCCTTTTCGAAACAGGTGCTGAACTTTGATGCTGCTGAATTATAGCAAGTTGTGTGAAATTGCAACAAAATACCTGGCATACTTGCTGCCGTTGCAGTGCCACTCTTGCATATTAGTTGGAACATGCTGCAAACAGAAGGTGCCACACTTCCATTTTACTTCCACCATGTTCGACCCAGGTCTAGACCGGTTGACCACAGTCGCCTTGAGATACTCCCACCCCAATCCCAACGAGGCACGAACCAAAAGTGGGGCGTGAAATCTGCCACTTCCATCCGAATGAGCCAAGAACTTGCAAAACCCATGAATCTTCCAGGACTTTGATCTTTTTTGCTTGGAAGCTGGGAAGTTGGGAGCCATAAAAAGGATGACAGCCACATCCTTTTTGCCCCTTGCAGGTGCACGGGCCACAGCCCGAAATGACGAGCATTCTCCAGGACAGAGCCACCTGCATGGAATCTGGAAGACTTTTTCATGGGAGATACTATCCTTTCACCAGGAAAAATGGAGGGAAAAAAACATTTATCATCATCCATCCCATTTTGCCTCTGACATCCTCTGACATGTTCTATGCATGTTCCTCCCCGTTATGGTGGGAAACCAAAGTAGAAAAAGTCTGTAAATCCCGCAGGCCAGCTCCAAAGACGAGAAATCTGAGAAAGGTCAGCGAATCGGGGGCCAAGGGGCCAAGGAGCACTGGTTATGAAACTGAAAAGATGTAGGAGGGTATAACCTGATGATCGTAGAATGATTGTAGAATGTCATGGAAGACTACATATATCTACATATCACTATGCATATATTCAACATGCATGTGTGATTTGTTGTGATTTGCAAATTTGTGCATACATGTGTATAATATATATATATTATATATACATATGTATATTATATATTATATTATATATATATATGTATTATATATCATATATATATATGTATTATATATTATATATATATCTACATACATTTGCAGAAGTATGGATATCTTCAGGGCTTCTAACGGCCAGGGCGGGCAGTCTACCCGTTGGACATCTCGGTGGGAACGATCGGAATCCCTGGCACCATGGGAAGTAGCGCGGGCGGAGGCGCCTAGGGGTCCTAGGGAGCTTTGGATGACCACGGAGAGCATCATAAATCCCATTAAATCCCATTAAATCCCATTAAATCCCATTAAATCCCATTGAAATCCCATTGAAATCCCATTGAAATCCCACGAAATCCAATTAAATCCCATTAAATCCCACGAAATCCAATTAAATCCCATTAAATCCCGATCAAGCCGTTTGGGTGTTCCAAGTTCAAATATCACCTGCAAAGGTAGTGAAATGTCGATTGGGTCTCCCCAATTTGAAGTGATGTTGATAGAAGAATCACTGTTGGAAAAAAATACGCGACTTTTAAACTTGACATTTCGGACAGTTGGGGGGCGCAGCTCGACTTTTCAGAGGGAAGGCATGGAATGCTCGGAATTCCAGATGAAAATGGGCCATGGGTTTCTGAATGTTGATCTCCTCAAGTTGGGGCTGAATCAAAATGTACCCAGGGAACCAGATACTCAATTTGGACCCTTACCCAATTCTTGGTGCTAGACTTGTTGCATTGCCATCTCTCAGTATCCCAAAAGATCAGCCAACGACCCACTGAAAAGCACGTCTGCGCGCTATTCTATTTCAGGTTGCGTGTTGTTTGTCTACCCATTTTGCGGTCAAAAACAGCCCAGTTAATAATCTATGTGCAAAATGATGATCATAATTTCAAGAACATTATATACTAACATATATCATCATATATCATCATATATCATAATATATCATCATATATCATCATATATCATCATATATCATCATATATCATCATATATCATCATATATCATCATATATCATCATATATCATCATATATCATCAAATATCATCATATATCATCATATATCATCATATATCATCATATATCATCATATATCATCATATATCATCATATATCATCATATATCACCATATATCATCATATATCATCATATATCATCATATATCATCATATATCATCATATATCATCATATATCATCATATATCATCATATATCATCATATATCATCATATATCATCATATACCATCATATACCATCATATACCATCATATACCATCATATATCATCATATATCATCATATATCATCATATATCATCATATATCATCATATATCATCATATATCATCATATATCATAATATATCATCATATATCATCATATATCATCATATATCATCATATATCATCATATATCATCATATATCATCATATATCATCATATATCATCATATATCATCATAGATCATCATATATCATCATATATCATCATATATCATCATATATCATCATATATCATCATATATCATCAGATATCATCAGATATCATCAGATATCATCAGATATCATCAGATATCATCATATATCATCATATATCATCATATATCATCATATATCATCATATATCATCATATATCATCATATATCATCATATATCATCATATATCATCATATATCATCATATATCATCATATATCATCATACATCATCATATATCATCATATATCATCATATATGACAATTCGATCACTTCACTACGTCATGGATTGCTTTCCCCATGGGTTTCGTCAAAAATGACTGCAGAGTCAGGTGCTGGAATTCTGGGCGGGCCCCTGGAAGACGCCACTTTGCTGCCGAGTCCTGTGGGGGCCCTGAGCAGAACACCAAGGCATAAGATTGCATAAGTGGGGAAATATATGGAAATTATTAATATACACATATAATATTATCATGTATATGGGATGTAATATGTGTGTTCTGCGCTTTTTTTGACCAACGTTTTTTTTTTGGGTTCAAAAATGGGGGTTTATAGCCCAATATCTAGCAATCTTTGGGAAAATGATGATCTCTGATGATCAACCATCAGCAACCCCAAAGCAGTGCTTTCCATGAAGAGATCACCAATTGCTGGGATGATGCTGTTGAAGGGTCAGACTCTCGAATGTTTAGAATTGTTGGTACAACTTCCAAGATTTGAGTGATGTTCAGGTAATTTCACATGTTCCAGTTCCTTTTTGGAAAGATCTTAAAGGATTATTCCACCGCCGTGTCCAGCGATTCCGGAGGGCTGTCATCTCCAGTTCACATGCTGTCTGCCCTTGCCATCGCCCGTCTCCAGGCGGCCCAATTGCCGGTGTTGGAAGGTAGCTGGCTTCCTCAGATTGAACTGGGCCGTTCAATCGGAGCTTGGGACGGAGTTTGGGACGGAGTTTGGCCAGGCGATTGTTTTTCAAAAACACACACCGTCTATATAGTTGCGTACACCCAGTTGGACCAGGTTCTAAGTATACACTTAGAACCCTACCCCCAGATTCTAAGTATACACTTAGAACCCCCATGAACCCCCAAACAAGTCAACACTAGAACCCAATCATGATATTGTTCATTAACATTTTGAACCTACCCCAATTTAAAGGTATATCCAGCTTATAGAGTGTAAGTCGGCCGCCCTATATATACATATATATATATACATATATATATATATACAGTACATATATATATATATACACATATAGATGCGTCTAGATGTTCTTCAAGTGTTTTTCCAATTTTCATTGGTGTGCTCCCAAGAATCCCAAAGATGCCACCTTTGCCGCTGCCAACAAACTCAGGTCGAGTCATACCATCTCAGGCGACCGAAGAGATGGAGATGGTGTGAGGAGACATGATCCTTGCATATAATCCCAATGATGGATAAATATGAGGATATGAATGATGATATGATGATAATATATGTTTTTTTGGATGACAATAGATGACAGTGTATGACAATGCATGACAATACATGTATATATAAAGAATTATAAAGATATACTGTCGTGGGATCGTGGGTTACTGAGCGATCTCAACTGGACGCTGTTCAGGCTTCCACCTACAGCGGATGGAGGTCGCAGCCACTGTCCGCAAGGACCTCATAGCCATATCCATAGCCGCCATAGCCATAAATCCATGGAAACTAGGTGTGTTTAGCCTCTAGAATATCATGATATGGATTAGTTAATTGGGCGTAGTTAAACATATCATGATATGATATGATTCTTAGTTAACTGATGATGGTTAGTTAACTATAGTTAACTGGCTTTAGTTCACCATCTTCACCATCTTATGCGACATTTTCGGACAACAGTCCAGCCCTGAAAAAGGTGGATGATGAGGAGAAGCTGTTGCCCAATGGGCTCAACCACCAGATCCAGCTGGCTGTGCCAAGGCACGGGAGCTTCGACGAGGGTCACACCACCTTGCAACCACTGCGTTGCCACCTGTTGGATGACAGCTGGGGCTTTCCCAAGTCATGGGGATACCCCAATAGCTGGATGGTAAAAAAAGTGGAAAATGTATTGAAAAAATGGATGATTTAGGGGTATCCCCATTTTAGGAAATAGCCAGTTGATGATCAAGCAGCTGAGTTCTACACACTGGCAAGT